TTAAAAATTATATAGATAATAGTAATATATTATATTGTTGAGAAATAATAAGTATTTAAGCAGATTTAGTAGATGAAGGATTTGTGTTAATTGGGCAAAAAAAACCTTTAAAAAAGCAGTATTTGGTATTTTCCATTCAGAAAAAAAGAGGTTGGTAGAAACTTTAGGAGTTTGAAGTTTTTTGGAGATATATTGTAATGCTTGTAGAAGGTAGGATTGATGATATTCAATATTGTTCTCATACATTCTACAGAAATATTTCCATCGAAGCAAACTAATTTTGGCTTGTTTGATTCTATAAACTTAGTGACCTATTAAAAATGAACTAAAATTAATTTCTTGACCAATAAATTTAAATAAATTGAAATGAATACATATAAGATATTATACATTTTCTGAAGATATACTATCAAATATATTCATATCAGCAGCAGCACAAATAAGCTGACCATAAGGATCATTTATTGCATTGTATATTGCAGTTTTTTGATTTTCTACAATTTTTATACCTTTAGTATCCTATAGAAAGAAATTTATAACTTAATACTTATAATCAAGTTAAAACTCAAAAACCAATTCCTATACCATTCCAATTTTTTTCATGTTCTCAATTAGCCAGCTCCCTGCTAAATCATTGCCAACAGCTGAAATTAATAAAGGGTTTGCACTCAGCTTGTACGCTGTTTCTGCGATATTTCTCCCAACTCCTCCGGCGGATTGTCTTACAAAACCTGGAGATGATGTGTGATAATATGAATGATTTTTGGATTCAACCGGGTTAAGAGTCGAAGTTATATCCATAGAAGAGCCACCAAATATTAACAACTATAGATATTAAAGGAATTATAAATTCAAATACGGATACAATATTACAAATGATATCAAAACTACTTTACTGATGATGAATCTGCCTTTTTTGTGAGTTCCTATAAATTAGTATAAATTGTACCGATTTTTATGTAAATTTTGTTTATAAATAGAATTTTTATTTCTTCTACATAAGACAAATTTAGCACCTTTATGCTTATGCTGCTGGAACCAAACTCCGCAAGACATTTTGCAATCTGACTCCCT